AAATGATTTCTTTTTCCCCTTATCTTTGCCAGACCCAACATTTCATAGTTGTGCTCGTATTTTGTGTGTTGTGCCCCAGTTATCTAAATACAGAGCACCACACATATGAGCAGTTCCCTACCAAAAACTCTGCGGCCATTTGAACAGATGAGGCAAATCGCCACCGACAAGTATAAAGGCCTCCAAAGTGGGAATGACCCCTCCCCTCACCCAGAGCCCCATCAACCAATACTTTTGCTTTGTCAACCATCAGCCCTGGACATGTCTCCAGACAGCCAAGTGCCCTCCAACACTCTAACGACCTCTCCACCCGCACCAGGAGGATGCACACAAAACTTTTATAAATAGCTGCACTCCCAGAAAGCCGCGGGGGCTGGGCAGTTGTCTCACCATACACCCTAAGACACCGGGCAGATGTGCAGGCTCCCGCCTTCATTGTTATTTTCAACACCTCACTGGAGTCAAGCCATGTGAAAGACTGCTTCAATTCCACCACTGTTGCTCTTGTCCCCAACAAAGCCATGCTTTACAGCAGGGTTGTCAAACTCATTTTTTGTCGCGGGCCACTTCGGAATTAAGGCTTCCCTCGGAGGGCCGGTGCAAAATCTCGAAGTTATTTATTACCCATGACAATTTGACATTTCGGTACAGATTTCAGCAAGAATCATGATAGTTGACACACATGACTTGCTCCCGCGGGCCACACAAAATAACGCGAGGGGCCGGATCTGGCCTCCGGGCCTTGACTTTGACACCTATGCTTTACAGGACTTAAGAACTACAGACCTGTGGCGCTGTCGTCTGTATTCACAAAGTCCTTTGGGCGCCTGGTCCTCCCCCACCTCAAGCCAATCACCACCCACTCTTGGACCCACTGCAGTTTGCCTACAGAGCCAACAGGTCTGTCGATGATGCAGTCAACCTGGCCCTCCACTCCACACTGCAACGTCGAGACTCCCCGGGAAACTCCTCCAAGATCTTGTTTTTGGATTTCACATCTACCTTCAACTCCATCCTCCCAGTTGTAAACCACGACAAACTTGCGAGCTCAACGTGCCCGATTCCCTCTGTAGATAGATCACAGACTTTCTCTCAGATTGGTATCAACACGTGCGGCTGGGCAATACTGTCTCAGAAACATGGACCATCAGCACCGCAGTCCCCTCAGGGTTGTGTACTTTCCTCTGGCTCTTTTCCCTATCCACCAACTGCATTACCTGTCAGTCCTTTAAGCTGATCAAGTTTGCGGACACCACCACCCTCATCGGTGTCTGCTTCAAGGAGGGAGGTGCATGTGCTTGAGACCTCGTCCAACTGCAATGACCTGAATCTTAACACCCAGAAAACATAATGACGAACTACAGGAAGGTCAGAGCCCCATGGTGCCCCCTCAACCGGGCTCCTCCATCTCCATTATGGACCCCATCCACTTCCTGGGCAGCACCATCACTCAATGGTGGTGACCTCAAGTGGGAGCAGACCATCAGCTCCATCATCAAAAAGGCCTAGCAGAGGATGGTCTTCCCGCGGCAGCTAAGGAAACTCAATCAGCCAACAAGTCCACCCTCATCTTCAAGAGCCAGTTCTCTAAAAACAGTCCCAGCACTATTCTGGGGAACCCAGTGTTCAAAAAATTGCATTGAGCAGGACCTATTTTGTTTTTATTTACCGCAGTGTCCTTGTTCGTCAGTCAGAGGTGCTTCTTTGAGGGGCTTCATTCCGACAATGTTCACAGGCTCATTGACTTAGGGTGACGCCAGCTCTCTCAAGACACATGAAGATTTGTGGTAAGAAATATTGAACATAGTCAACCATCGCTTCCCCCAACGATTGTTTTAGACACTTGCAACAGTGGCCATTAATGAAGTGTTTACCGACAGCCTTGTAAACGAGTGTCCCCTGTCAACAACAACTTTCATGTGATCACCACACAGGCCAAGCCGACGAGAGACATGAATCTGGCAACTCTGGACCAAACATTTTGAACCGTCGATGCCTTTTTTACTAAAGGTGAAATGTTTTTAACAACCAAGAAATCCAGTTGCCTCTCTTTAACTTTTGTGGATGCAGACAATTGTTTGTCAAACTTTGATGATCTGATGACATAGCTGTCTATCATGCAATTGTTCTTTTATTGTGATACTACTTGTATTGTTGGAAAAATCTGACAGTCATATTCTCGAGCTCTGAGTTCCTCTATGATTTCCACCCCAGTCGATAAACATCGACAGTGTGCTTGATAGATGTATTAGACTGCATTTTGAATAGGGCCCGGCCAATCAGGATTTTTTTTTTAGGCTGATGCCGATTCCGATATTTGGTAGAATAAAATTGTGATCACAGATGAATAGGCCAATTAAAATTCTCTCTCGAGAGGGAGGGGGGGAGAGAGAGAGAGAGAGAGAGAGAGAGAGAGAGAGACAGAGAGATACATATACGCCAGTGCTAACTTTGATAAGTAAATATTTTAAGAAATTCATTTATTTGTTGACGCATTCATCTTAATTTGTGCAATTCCAATGCCTTGATTGTCATGAGGTTAGTACAGCCATGAATTCAATTGTCCAGTATAAAGATGCTAAATATGATATTGTCACTAATATATATAATATGAGACCCTGCACCCTACCTGATGCACTGCTCCGCCTTCTCCTCTTCGGTGGGCTCTGGCTCCTTGCTGACTCCACACTCAGGGAGGCCATTAGTGGAAAGCGTAGGCGACAATGACCGCTTTGGCCTGTTCAGCTGTTTTGGCATGCCTGGTCCGTTCACATTTCGACTGCAAAAGAATAGCATGTCAATTTCTTGCATAAGGAGGCCCAAAAAGATTCATCCTAAAAGTAACTAAGTGTGCCACTTGACGACATCTTCAAGTTGTAGAACTTTTTTAATAGTAGCTCCCACCCATCTGAGTGTACGGAATTGCCAGGAAACATCACTCCATTCATTCTGTTTGAATTAGATGATCCATTTTTCCTGTTGAAAAACAGAAAAGCACAAAACTGACAGTTAAGGAACAAATGCTCAGAACAAATGTGAAGTATGACAGCTTTTGTACTTACTCAGACATGGGATACACACAGCTGACCACCATTACATTCTGTAAGGCACATAAAGGAGGAGGATGAATATTTCACACAATCCTAACATCACTGAATATTAAATTGCCAACCTTTTCTATACCCCTGAGAAACTTATCTGTTCCTGTATAGTTCCGCTTGGGATCAGTGAGCAGCTCACACAGACGCTGAATGGTGAATGGGATTCTGGGAAAGTCACCAAGAGGTATGGTTAGACGGAATCACGGGCAACCGACAGCATTAACACTGAACATGGGACGTTGTCAAAAGAGGCAAAGACATGCCACCTTAAACACACAGGACTTTTTTCAGCCTGCCACATGCTTTGATGATCTTATTAAAACTGATTCAAATCTGGTTAAAATGTTGGATTCGTGTTAGATCTTACTTTCCTTGTCAGTTTAATTGCTTCCACTTCTACAGCAATCACGGATTTAGGTGTCATGTTGTAACAATAAAAGTGTGCCATGCATCATAGATTTAGTTCAACAAGCACTCTTATAAGTTGAAAAACTAGCACATACCATATATCATGACAATGATTATTTGACATTGAGAATTGGTTGTATTTTAAAATTACACGATATACACGTGTATCACTTTCACAATCTCATTTCGACTATTAAAACGCAGGGTTAATTATTATAAATAAAGCTAAACAGTAAAAGAGGGAGAATACATTTTTCTACAAACCCATTATAGCTGTCAACTATTTTTAATATCCTCTTCTTCATCTCTTCAAAAGGAACGTGCTCTACATTGGGATTGTGTGTGCCTCTCTGCTCAGGTGTCGATGAGTGAAAATCATCAATGACATTCTCCAACTTAAACATGAAGTAGGATTTGAATTGTGACCACGGGATCCTAGGAGAGATCAGACATTTGGTCACATCAAATCTGCAAAACAATTATTATAAACAATTGGTATACCACTCAGACTCGATGACAATGGAATGTCGGTTATGTTATATAATTGAGTGCAAATATGTATGTATGTATGTATGTATGTATATATGTATGTATAAATAAATAAACTCACATTGCTTCTCCCGTCTTGGCAACATGACAAAGGTATTGCTCCAATACTGGGCTTGTATCCCTTTTCGTTTTCTTCTCAAAATCTGTCAACGACGACATTGATTGGAAACATAGATTGAACTCTTTCAATGACTGACCAGAATTAAAACAGAATAAGATAGCTGGACATTTCAAAGACGACTCAAGAAAAGTTAGCGACAAGGAACAAGTAATTAAGATAGATAGATAGATAGATAGATAGATAGATAGATAGATAGATAGATATTGGCAACTCGTGGTGTATCAGTATGACTTTGTGAAAGTAGTACGGCAGACTTGAAAAAACAACACGCAAGTACGTACTGTAAACGTCGCACCATAAACATCGGATTGCGTCAATTATAGAAAAAAAATAGCGGTTCAATTGAAAGCTGTTGTAGAGTACAACGTTTATTACAATATTCAGCTATTGTCTAGCATTTGCATAATTACTTGATATCAATTCCCTAATGAATGAAGTTATGGAAACTGCACAGCTTGCAAACTTGCTAGGTTGCAAGCTAAGTTGCGATCACGTAGTTAGCAACCATTAGCGGTTCCACTATGTGCAAAAATATAATGTCAAAATTTCTCACAAATACGGCATGATTATTTTTAGTAACTGTAAAGTTTGCCTTGAAACGCTTCCAATAACGCTTCGGTGTCCATCGCTGCCTCCGGAAACCGAAGGAAATGCTGCGCTTGCTAGTTAGCAATAGCGGGCAGCAACATAACAAAGCTGGACCGGGTCAAGACTGCGCGTGCCTGAGGTGACGTCATACATTTACGGAAGAGACGTTTAGGCGTCAGTATTATGGAAGGAATGTTTGAATACTGTGAAACTGAACTCCTACAAGGGTAATTACTACGCATGCTTTTCTGTCCACGTCAGACGTCGAGCATCTCTGGTTTGCACATTTATACAGAAAGCGTCATTGTTTTTTGGTTGCTGTTCTGAGGACACACCGAAGCTGCTGATGATGAGTCATCAGCTGATCCTCAAGTTTACTGTCACAAAGCTAACGTGCACGTGTAACTCAGAAGCGACGGCGGAAACAGCGTCTCAACACGGCTACCTGTTTTTTGACAAAGCCACCAGAGTATTCCCTCAAAAACAACAATGATAGTCCGAGTGGCTGCCACGTTACATTTGAATTCTCCATCAAGCCCGGTGACTCTCCGTGAAACCAGCGTTCACGTACGAGGACCAGACACAGATTTGGGAAGCTTCTTGAACGATAAAGAAAATGACGTTCTGCCCTTACATTCTCCCTGGACCTTCTGGCTCATTCGGTAAATCGCTGCTTTTTACTTGAAATGTTAAAGTAATGAATTTGCTTTATGACCTCAAGAGAACTAAGAAATGGGATGATGCCTGTAACAAGTATTTGAAAGAGAGGCCATCAACAGTCGTTGCTGTGGAGTTGTTTAACTTAATTAATTCTATTCAAATAACGCCACACAAGTTGTTACTGGAGATTTTCTGACCTGTTTTCTCTTTGGCCTACATTGATAAGACACCTGCTTGTGAGGATCCTAGAATTAAAAAATATAATATACACGCACACAAACTGAAACAAATTAAGCACAAAATCAAATTCACTTTTTCACGTTACATATTAGTTAAGGAAGTTTTAATGCTACAATCCTGTTGACCCCTTGCTCGGTTGCCTATGAAAACACTAAGACCCCACTGAGATAGACATCCACTTGTCATTTCAGATCAAATTTCATGTTGAATCACGAGAAGAGTTACACAACCCTGTTACATGTACATGTTAAAAGATGCTGTGTTTTAATGAGGTCAGAGTTGTTTACTTATCCAACTCCATGCCGTCTGTTTGATTGACAGCACACCAGAACGTGACACATGCTGCACAAAAATTTTATTTGAAAATGCAAAGTGTATGTTTTTTTTTTCTTTTTACAAGAGACACTTATTTAAATAAGTATCCCTTTTGTCAGATCTCTACCAGGACCTAAAGCAACTGAATGTGAGTTCAACCTGAAGAAAGTCTACACCGTGGAGACAGTCCAGGCAAGATTTCCGGTCTTTTATAATCTTGCTACAAAACAGCACCATCATACAGTGCTGGCAACATAACATAATTGCGCCACAACAAGACTAGAACTTACTCATTTAAATTCAAATCAAAATATTCTTTGGTCCTAAATTTAAGAATTTGAGGTTTATTCCAAGGTTACTTTACATAATTGCTGTCATGTTCACTTAAGCATGATGCATATATGCCCTCGCAAACAAGAGATTCCATCTCAAGGGGTTTAAATGATGAATTTTCAACCAGGGACTAATTCATCATTCTGGCACAGTCTCAAAGAAGTCAAATTGCTTGTTTGGACTTCCTAACAACAGCAGTGGCAAAAAAATCCTTTGGTTGGAGTTTTCATACAGTAAAATGAAGAGAACCACTCTAGTGAGTTGTAGTAAATATGTGTGAGTACTTGTGTATACTTGTGCATACTTGTAGCCGCTTGTTCTCAACTAGGGAGGAAGAAAGTAACGTTAAAGGTGGTGTTTGGAGATTAAAAGTGCCAAAAGAGTGCACAGTGAGTGATGTGATAAAATGAAATATCTTTGATTTTCACAAAGTCTGCTGCATGGAAGGAATTGCTCCTGGCCACCATTGGGGAACAGTTCAGTGATTATTGTGCTGCAGATAAGATAGCATTTCAATAACTCAGTTGCAAGGCATGTAATTGATAGTCAATATTTAACCAATCGCCTGTGACTCACTTTACCCACAGAAGATGAAGTGTGTGGTGTCAGCGTCAGTGTACGAGACAGAGAAGATGTTCCGGTGTGGAATGAAAATGCTTCCTGCGCTGATGAGGTGAACATTTTAGGGAAGATTCATGAGCTCCGTCTGCAGATGCCATTTGAAGCAGCGTTTTACAAACGTGAGTATTTGCTCACATTGTATGTTTCATGGATTGTGAAGCTTATTGATGTAAGTAATACTCACATTTGCTTTGATTGCAGCTCACAAGGATCATCACGCTTTCGAAGGAGGTCGATCAGGATATTAGCACTTTTTGCACTTTAAAGCACATCTCGGACCATAATATGGAGGCAGATTTTGAAACCGCTGAGTTGAAGCTCATATGTTTAACCTCATCAACTCAAAATGTAGCCGTTATATTATAGCAAGGAAATCCCTCATCCTTTCGGAACGACAGTCATTCTTACACTGTATCTGAAACTGCTTGTGTTTATTGTTACTAAACTGTGTTTTTATAATGCACACTTTTGCAAACATCTCTTGAAAATGTAGCAGGTGATGTACAGTCGTCTATAATAGTATTCATTTCAGGTTCAACAAAATAGGTCTTTAAGTGAGTACACATTTAAAATCACACATCTTTTCACTCTTGTACTGAACGGCCAAAATCCCCCAAATTTCCTAGACCAGGATTTACCAGCCTTTAATGAGCCAATGAGCCATTTTCCATAACAAACATATCTTGGTACACCACCAACCAAAAATACTGTAATGTAATAATTGCATTTGAACAGAAAGCTGATATACTTGTAGGAAGCCGTGACCTAATTTGCTATTGTTTTCTTTTCACATTTTAGATATCAGCAAACCGCCAGACTTCCTGTTCTGTCTCCCCCTGTTGGTCATTGTTTTGTTTGTGTTCCTCTGAATGGGTTGTAACTGGAAAAGTAAATGTAAATATAATTTCAAAAATACATTTGATTCTGATTCTCATCATGGCTTTTGAGGAAAGAGGTTGGGTCCTGTAGCTGTTTGATGCCCTGCTTGTTGTAATCCCGGTTTGACAAATACCGGTAGAAGCAAACTGGGTTCTGAATGCGCTTGACTGATCGAATAAAAATAGTGGCTTTCCCTGTTACGCACACTCACTGAATGGAGTTGTGTCCGCTGTATGGCACGTGTAGCATAGCGTATTAGCTTAGCATAGCGAAGCGGTTAACAGAATATACAGCTCTCACTTCACTGAAGAAAACTCAAATAGTTTATTGCTGAGAAATGTATGCTATCCTCTCTATTCACTTGAGTTATAAACATGAGAATAAAATAAAATAAAACATGAGATCTTGTGGTTTTCATGTTGATTAGTCTCTATTCTGTTTTATTCGTGTGTTCCTTCAGTAAAATTGTAACTAGACACAAAACATGCTGACCAAAGGGGCACTGCTGTTTTCAGTTTCACTTTGTTGTGTTTCTTGCATTTACTTTGATCGCATCTGCTCGTACTGTAACAATTTATTGTTTTCAATGTGTCAAGAAGATTATCTACATTTAATGCAAACGTGAAACTGCTCTTCAAATCAGATTTTAGGGCTTTTGTGATACCTGAACATAGTTTGATTTCAGAATTTTGAATATTAGCCATCAGTCTCAGGCTACCATCCATCCAGTATTTGTCATGATTCTATCATATGAGGGAACACACAGGCATTCACATTTAGAACCGCATGAATTAATCTCAAAGGATTATTGGACACATTTCAGCATAAATGCAGAGTTATAAATGTTGAAGGAAGCAAACTACCGCTATCTCAACCAAATCCAACATTTAATATTGTTGATGGTTTCTTGTGGGTTCTGGACTCAATACAAGGGCATTTCTTTAAAGGATCAAGCCATTAAATAGGCTTTGCTCGGCTTTTGTTTTTACTTAAGTAATTCCATCAAAAGAACATATGTGTTCATGGAAAACTGCTTGCACATATACAGTTGACCTTTCACTTCAACATTTTGACCTTTGTATCTGTTGATCTTGGACGGTGCCTTGTGTTTGCCAGCAAGCAAGAATGTTAGCATCTTGTGTGCTCTCCGTGTGTGTGTGTGTGTGTGTGTGTGTGTGTGTGTGTGTGTGTGTGTGTGTGTGTTTCAGTTCAAATATAAACCTGCTAAAACTTGTAAATGCACCTGGATTCGTTTGTGTTTTTGCCACACTTGGATTCATTTGTGTTTTAGCCAACAGAATTTAATGACTAGATTGATGGCCGCCAATACCCTGCACAACGTAGAGAGGGGGAAATGTCGCCATCGTGTGGCTATTTACCTGTCATTCAACGGCTGACTTCTCGAGTTTTAACAGTTCTGTTAGAGGCAGGTTAAATAATTCAACTGTAAGATACAGTTGAATTATTTAACCTATATACGTTGTTTACCAAACATCTAATATAGCATATTTTAAATAAACTGAGATACTCTAGCTGGCCACGGTATTATGACAACTTGCACAATGTAACACTATCCAATACAAGAGCTGTATCAAATATTCTGCTTGAACAGGTAATAACAGTCAACTTTGTCACTCACTAAAACTAGTGTATCATGATGAGAGTCACCCCTAGTGTTTGTTAATGAGAAACAAAATATTGCAACCATCTCTTGGTGTGATGTATACACCCTACTAAGTACAGTTCAATACCGTTTGAAGACTACAAAAATAAAGCCTAACCCAGGGGTGTCAAACTATTGGTCGCGGGCCACTTTGGTGTTACGTCTTCCCTCGGAGGGCCCCTAAGACAGTGAGCCCGAATAAATGTTTCATCATCACATCGTATTATTACTTGTACACAAAAAAATGATGGCTCACTAGTTTTGAAATCAGTATTAAGTACTTGTTCAATTATTGCTCAAGTGAGTGTAAACAGGGTAACAATATTATTGCAAAATGCCACCGTTATTTATTACGTATGACAATTTGAGATTTTGCTACAAATTTAAGCAAGGATCATGGAAATTGACACATGATTTGCTCTCGCGGGCCACACAAAATGACGTGGCGGGCCGGATTTGGCCCCCGGGCCTTGACTTTGACACCAGTGCTCGAACGATTCAATTAAAACTGAACAACTCAAAGTCGTCATTGTTTCAAACTCAGACAATGTATTTGTCGCTTGATTTTTTTTTTTGACTGACACTACAATCATCATTTACAACGAAACAAATGAATACAAATGTATAGAGTCGAAGTGACCCGTGAGATTTTTTTTTCCAAGGCGAGCTGATGGCCCCGCGTGTGGACATGACGTCACCATTGTTTACTTTTAACGAAGCCACGCCTTCTGTTAGCAACTTGTGGCTAGCCCCGCCGCCAACGAAGCCACTCCGAGGTTCATTCTCCCGACACCACACTGGGTTCAACTTTGTTTACGCGTACACAAGCTGGTGAGTCAAAGTTAACGGAGTCGCACGCCGATAAACCTGTGTACTAGTGTTGATCTGAGAACGTCATATTTATTGCCATATCAGCGTTGCCAAAACGAGGAGAGAGATGATTCCTTTCGGTTAGCGGCTAGCTTTTGTTGCACATCGCTACGAACCTCGAGGTTGGTTTGAAAACACGTCCATATTTTCCGGAGGAGAGGAGAGAAGATATAGCCTATGAATAACACGCGCCCATTCGCATATCGATCATGCTAACTCGCAGTTCCTTGTTCCCCGTGTGACCACTAGCGTTAATGTTCGGGTCCTCACTAGGAATCTCATACTGCAATGGCTGCTATCGGCGGATGTCGAGTCCATTCATTTTGTGCCCAACATATCACACAACTATTAATAATGAGCAACACCTATTTGACATCTGCTCAGGCTTATTCAAATTGATAGTATTGATTGTATAACACTGAGTGACATGGCCCGTCCTCCAAAATGAGGTAAGATCAGTTTCTAAATATGCTACGACCAATGTTTTTCTTCGATACACATTTGTGCACTAACAAACAACAAGAATGATTCGAACGATTGTATCGACCGTCCAACCAAGATGAAAGCGATGCAGACACGTTGCAGTGCATTACAATGACCTTATGTTCATGAGAAAGTTGCTAACACCACAAAACCTCACACATATTCTTAATCGTGAATCTTTCCTTGAAACAGCTTTGCCGCAGTATTATGTTTTTACTATCAAATGTGTTGCTCGGAATACATATGTATAGTTAAATAATAATTCAAAGAAAGTTGTCTTCAGCCATGACAACAGGAAACTCTGCTTTTTGTCTTTTGTGTAAGCCTGATCCTGAAAGCATGAGCAAACAGAATGGAAACTTTGCTTGCAAATGCCGGACATGGTTTAGAGTGGCTTTCATTCGCAGGAATCACTTTGCTTTTTTTAAACCGTCTTTAAAATATCCCTTTCATTCATTTCATGATGCCAAGCTGACACATCTGATGCAGGAAGTACTCATTTCTTATTGTCTCTTAAGTGGCTTCAGTAAAATTGAATCTGTATCATGGACGTTAGTCCCAACAATCTAGTAATTTGGTGTTGATTCAGTTGGGAGCCAAAATGACTGTAGTATATTTAACCGTTGCTTTGCATGTTTGATTTATAAGTTTGCAAACCTTGAAACTAGTGACGTTCTCCTTCAGGCAATGTGACCTGTTTCATCTGAGCTTTTCCATCTGCTCACATTATCTGTTTGCCTACTTTATTTACTTTTGTTTATGCTGCTTAGCTTTCGACTCGAGCACTCCCAAGCTGTACACATAAAAGCCTTCTTGTGCATTGTACTACCTGACACGGCCGTTTATCGCACCACCTGGTTAATGGTAAATTGTTCCAGAAGGAAGATATGTTTGCACATAAACACAGACCCAGGGGCCCTGTGTTTACAGTAGCCATGGCAGCACTCAGTTATTCAACAAATAGACCAAGCATGTTCCTCTCGCAGTTTCAGAGGAGACTGCAACTTGTACTGTAGCTTGTTTGGTTTTTTTTTTTACATTGTAACCTGGTTGAAATTTAACAGCATTGATGACTTCGCATAACAGTGACTAAAACTGTTGTTTTCCTGTTGAAGTTCTTTTGGGGAGTTTTTCTTGGCGAGTTCCTCCTAATAGCAAAGTTGCTACCTTGCCGGATGTATTTGTGTGTCCGGGCCTTAAATTCAAGCAATCATTCTTCAGACCCTCCACGGAATTGTGCCTTTTGCGTTTCAAAACCATAATGCAACAGTTGGGGAAGTCACATTTGCACAAATCTCCGAGCAAACTTTTATTTCTGGGGGCAGGGGGGGGAAATCTTCTCACAGTCTTGTCTTAGGCAAACACTTTTTCTGAGTGCCGTGTAACTCCTAAGACAACATCCATCCATCCATTTTCTAATTTGCTCATCCTCACGAGGGTCGTGGTTGTGCTGGAGCCTGTCCCAGCCGTCTTCGGGCAGTAGGCGGGGAACACCCTGAACCGGTTGCCAGCCAATCGCAGGGCACACAGAGACAAACAACAGTCACACTTAAGGACAATTTAGAGCGTTCCATTAACCTGCCATGCATGTTTTAGGAATATTGGAGGACACTGGAGTACTTGGAGAAAACCCACGCAGGCACGGGGAAAACATGCAAATTCCACACAAGTTGGACGGAATCGAACCCATGACCTCTGCAGTGTGAGGCAGACGTGCTAACCAGTCAATTTTGACAACATAACATCCTTCCCAGACTTGATGCCTCTCCGCAAGCCTTTTTTGCCTGGCTTTCTTGCTCCATAATTTTTCGATGCTCTGCTGGGGTGTGATATAGTCTGAAAGGCCAGCTCAAGTGTCAAGATGTTTTAAGTGAGGAAAAGAGAGTAAGGATCAAGCATTTTCTGTGGCTCTGTCTAGTAAAGAATTCTACCTGCGTGACACGGGAAAACAATTTAAGAGCCACCTCCAAAATATTGGAATGGTGCAAAGTGAAACTCGTGACAAATTAAAGAATCTGTTGGCAAATATTATTCACTGTGAACCCCAAACACCCGACAACAGCTTGCTGTTGTCAACTTAGTTATCCATCGAACTTTTGGTGTGGCCAATTGGTACACTCTAAACTACTTAGTCAAAGTACATAATATTACAATTATGAAGTCAATCCCTCCCCCACCCCATGCTCAGGATACAGTCAAGATATTCCTGGCATGGGTATAAATGGTAGATGGAATTTGTTTATCGTGGTCCATGGCTTGACTTGAAATAACCTCACCCATTGAGATTTGTGTTTTCCATATTCCATGATGCCACGCTTTTTCATGCAGCTGTTTCCATTTACACCATTTGTTTGTTTCTCAGGTCAGTGGAGTCCAGATGCACGAGTCTGGGTCAGAACCAACTAGCCACGCCATTCCAGCTGTTAGGACACAGAACGGAAAAAATGCTGAGAATGACACTCGACTAAGGAGCGGCCATACTCCTCCTCCAGAGTCACCCAGAGTCAGTTTATTCCCGTTGGCTTCCCTTTATTACACAAACACTAATTGTGCCGATGCTCATTGTGGCAATGTTACCTCAGTTTTGGAGCAATGCTAGCATCTTGGGAGCACTTTTCTGAAACAAATGTGTTGCACACACTGAAGCTTACCGTGCGACATTAGTGTGTGAATTGTGGCCTCTGGTCTGCAGGTGTTGTGATTTCTCTGCTTGGATGGATGGGTAGATGGATGGGTTCTTAATTTAGTAGCAATAGTCATGCATACACAGTCATACTAAAGGACCTCCACACAAAGTAAAAACAAATACCAAAGTGCGCCCTTAAGGAAGAATTAGAAGAACATTTTCATCTTTTCTAATCAAGAAGAACAATTTATAGAATTAGGATGTTGCATGTTTGTATGGAGTATTAAATAGAGCCTAATTATGCCACAGTCGTATGTGCAAGGTTGGAAAGTTTAATATTATTGACAGCGATCTACAAAACACTACATTATAACTTACTGTACTACACCCACTACATACATTGCATGAAACTGTTGGCAAAATATGTAGGCTTGATTTTGTACATTGAAACTCAAATTTCAACATTCTAAATTGAGCAGTATTACAATGAATAATACTATAAGCCTTGTGTAGTATTCATGCGAGTATCCATATTTAAGTGTACATCACATTGCTAACATTTTTGCACAGTGTCCAGAAGTATTTTCACCACACACAATAACTTATACATCAGTTAATAGTGAACGGTATAGAAGATGGATCGTATGGATGACGGATAGATAGAGACTGTACGTAAATACACTACAGGTATTTTACTTCTGAAACATTTATTTTTGTGCGTGCAAACACTTTGTTTTTTTTCTTCTTTCTAACCCCCAATTTTGCTGCTGTAGACTGTAAAATTCCCCAGTGTGGGACAAACAAAGGATATCTTAATCTTAATGTCCTGCAGAAAGTGAAAAAATGTGTGTGTTTTTTGTTTTGAAAGTGAATGTACTGCATAGCCTGGAACCCTTCACTCTATTTATTGTTGAAAGTTAGCACATCGATGGGTGCAGGGATTTAAGGAAGGGAGGGTGTTGAGAGGGGGATTTTCTTGTTGCTCTTATTTTTTCCCCCCACATCTCTGACGGGAATAGGTCTCAGACAGCAAATTATGTTGCTCTTTGTTCATTTATTGGCTGCCAGGTGAATTTTGGAACGGGGGTCACTTTTCCTCTGTTTAATTGTCATCCTATTTTCAATCGACATTTACATGTTTGTCCCCACTTGTGCGTCTGCGAGGGAAAGTCACATGTCGGTGATTGTGTAATAAAATATCATGCGTGTTTTTACAGATGTTTGTACTTTGCAGGATACACATTAGTGTTGGGTTTTAGTGCTTTTTGTGTGTGTGTGTGTTTTGCTGTCAGTCATCTCAGAGTTCACAAGACCAGTCTTGCAGGAACGATCTGTGTTTACACTCGGCTGCTCACTGGTATGACTCTCAACAATAACAACAACACAAGATGTTTGGACTTGCTGGCTGCCATGGTAACGGGGATTAGGCAAAGGCTGTTGTTGTGTTGATGGTGTCCACAGAAAAACAGAGGGGCCAAACAGCTCTGTCTGTCTGTCTGTTGGGGTGGACCTGTTTTTTCATGGCTTTTGTGGCCACCTCGGCTGCATTGAATCTCATAAGAAAGGCCAAACAAGGAGGCCGTCGACTGTTATTGTTAGCCCACAGCCTCTGTGAAATTCTTCGTCAGTTTGTTTACCCGACTCTAAACAGACTCTGCCTCAGAGAGAGATGTTTGTTTGTGGTTCAGACCTTAATTAAAATATGAATCCTGCATTCTGTTTTCGTAAACAGGCTCTGCCTGCTTTTTATTCATTATTTAGTCTCTGTGCAATTTTGATGACTTTGTTTATGTTTACTGCAAACATTGCCAGAGCAGTGAGGCTCGACAGGGAGTGGGGTGGGGGTTGGTAAATTGCTGCCTGCTCAGTAGATGATGTTGTTTCTGTGCCACTGGTTGTTGTTGTTTTGATGGCGGGCTGTCTAATTCCCTTGAGCAATCTGTTGTTATTGTTGTTTGGTTAATTTAGGAGCTGAATCTCTTGACAGAACTTTGTACACTAGATGGTGAGTTGGAGAAATAATCAAGTGCATATTGTACTTTTTATGCTGGGAATTGTCTTTGATAGTATGGCGTTACTTGTGTGCGCATGCCTAATGCGCTCTGTATCACTCCGACATGTTTGTCAGACTCTCGGTCCACATGTCAGTCTCGCCCTTAACCGTAACTTCATTTTATGTGGTCCGCAACGTTAAAAACAATATGATTCTTTCAAAATGCGTTCTATGCTGCTTTACCATTTGAAGTTGGTTCCAAACATGTCCCTCACCGATTCTCTACATTTTGTGATTTTTACAATCCTCGAGGTACTGAGTACATGGCATTGTTAGAAAATAGGAAAAGGGCCCAAATGTCAAAATAAGGTATCGATCGATGTGAAGGTAAATACATGTTTGTTCTTAAAGGGCATTAAATGGTCTGGCCTTGCGGCTATTAAACACAGTCGATGTTGAGCTAATACAATTCCACACACAAGCACAGCGCCGAGAAAAGACTGCTGTCTATGTGCGTTTATTATCGGCGAAAGACCCAGTCGAAGCTCAAGTCAAATTAATTAACATGCATGTTAAACATACACACAAAAAAAAAACCTAGTTATCATGTCTCGAAATAGGCATTTTGTCATTGTTTTTGTGTACAGCAACATTTGTACAATTGTAACATCATTGTATCGCTGGCACGTACACATTAGCAGTGACATTTGTGCTAATATTTAAGATGTTCAGGCTGAACTTTTAAAATATGTGATTTAGTTTTTTGTTTTTTTTTTAATCGCCAAGGCAGCCTATATTTTCTTTTGGAAGCTGTATTTCAACGGATATTTGCTTCATATCCCTCCATTCTTCTGACTTAGTCATGTTTCCTAGTATACATTTTATTTGTTGTTCCCTATCATGTTTTTAAAGCGTATTCAGGCACGTGTTACTCCTCACCACCCAACCAACAAGGGCATTCTTATCAAGGGCATTTGTAATATGTTTACTCAACCGTTTCATCTTGTTTTTCTCTCTGTCAGTGTTTTCATCACCGTGAGTGACACCACACCCGTTTTCCTTTGTGCTTTGTGTGTGAGTCTGTTTAAGAGTTCAGAAAAACACCCATTGGCCCACAGTGCAAACTTCCATTTCCTCTGTAAAAGTCCCACGTCGTGTTGCTAAGTCTTTATGTATGAAAGGCTGGATCACAGCATATACTGTAGTGCCCCTGATTTACTAAAATCCAATCCATGGGTGCAAAGTTGTGTGTTGTGTTTACTCAAACAAATTGTTCTTGCTGTTGCTGGTTATCTTGTGCGTGGTCTACAAAGATTGTGATTTTTCACCAAGATCCCAAATAGTGGGCGCGAAATAGTGTGTTCCCTCAGACTGAATGATGGTATGCGCTGGTGGCAACAGTAAAAGGGGTGATGACTGCTGAATTTAAAAGAGCGTTCGCTCTTTCGGTTGGCTATGATGGTTTTCGACATGGAAAATCTCATACACTAGAGCTCGGCGAAATGACGGTATGAATCGTGATGACCATAGAAATGAGTCTATCGTGTCAGTTTTCTACTATTGTGCCGATTGTCATTTGGCTTCTGAATGTTTCAAGATTGTCAGAAAAGCTGCATTTAACGGACAAATACTTTTCCTGCACAATCTTATGCCACACAGCTGCCACCGGGTGGGTAGACGGAACAAGAAGAGGAAGTGAGTCATGTATCCTACATTACAGATGTTCGGTGCAAAATTAAATCTAAGACTCAATGAAAATTAATAAACAATGAGGTAGTGAACGCAAATAATGAATACTCCTGCTTTGGGAAAGAATAAACTAACAACGAACTCGTAATTATTATCTATGAACATTAAAAAAAAGGGACCGGTAGGTTGGGTACACCTTCAAACTACAAAAGCAAAGCAGTTTGCATTTTGAACCTCGTTATAACACAAAGAATAACAAAACTAATAATCACGGATTTGCATGTGTGTCCTTTAATTGGTGACTGTCCCAAAAAGGTTTGTGGGGCTGCCTATGTCACCTGCAGGTCAAGGCGAGACAACGCAACAGCAAGCTAGCATTAGCAAGGTTAGCAACGAGCTTCAACTACTGCTTGTTTAACATCAACGCCAACATCAACTCGCCTCAAAAAAAAACTTTTTGCAGTTGTCACACTCACAAAAAGATCACAAGGAATAATTATCAGAGGCAAGGACAAAGGAGCCATGCTACTTGCTAAGCTAACGAAATGTTATCGATCGCGAAAGACTGAAATTAAATGCTTGGTTGGGTTGGTGGACTACACTTCACAGAGGTCTCGCAAGAAAGCCGACCATAGTCATCCTTGAATAGCAAAATTGCGGGCTATATTTGATAGGTGTCTGGAAAGAAAATTAATCTAAAATAATCTCCACACACACAGCGAAACGGCAAATGTTTCAGCGTCTTGTATGTCAGCCAGGAGGAGTGATCTAAAAGATTAGAAGCACATGAGTATTGAGGACAAGCGATTCAAAATTTGGATGCATATCGTGTATTCCATGTACAAATTTGATTTGTTTTCACGATACAGTCTTGAGTTTTATTTTTGACATTTTGAGGTCTAATCAATAAATGTTCTCACAATTACATTACAGCACAGCTTACCATTTTAGTTTTTAAAGATATTTGTGTCGGAAACATTTGTTATGTGCAAAAATCCGTGGGCTACTTTTGCTTCTGTTTGCATTTGATGATTTTATATAGCAGCGGTAGGACTACTGGATGTATTTCTCATTTGATACGTGTCTGTTAAATGTCACTTCAAAATAAAGTGACAAAGGGTATGCAGTCATAGTGTGTTGTAGCGATGGAAAATGAAGCTTCAAATTTGCTTCATGAACCAGTTGTATTTTTTTCACTCCTCTCGGTGGCGCACTCTGTTCAACACTAGGTTGATAGTACACTGACTATTTCTTCTTTACAGTGATGGCAGTTTTCCGCGGATACGCGGAAATCCGCCGTTTTATTTCTTAAATTGATCATTTTTGTGAATCGTCTAAATCCGTTGAAAAAATTTTAGGGGGGGTCAGGTACCTTATCGTCGAGTTTTCACGAGCTCTCCCGATCAGTCTTTCCATCTTTGTAAACAGCCCTGCGATTGGACGTATATGATGTCTTACTTGTTGTGATTGGTCGCTATATCGGCAAATGCAAATCACAACCAATCCGTGTTCGCCTTCCTGAAGCCCTTTCTTGCGATTCGGGAAAAAGCTTGATGTCGCTGGTTAAGCTCTGTGTACAGTGTGTGACGATGTCATTCTATACGGATCGAGAGGATGGAAAGCTTTACAGAGTCACGCAACCTCGGTGAAACACCGAAAACAGACATTTCTACTGAAAAGTAACTGCTCGATCTCAAGCACTTTTCGACAGCCTGGAGCATGTGTAAAAACAAGAGGAGTTGGCTAAAAAGAGAGTGGAAAAAGACAGAGAGGACCAATAAGCTTTTAGCGCTTGCTAAAAAGCTTAAAATGAAGAGAAAATAAAGTATTCTACCTCACGAAACTGTATATTGTTGTATATACTGTAAATAGACATCCACTTTATATAATAAAATACATTCATAACCCATATATAGTAAACAGTGTGGGACTTCTGACTTCCGGGTTGAGTGAATGCTGGCGCGTTTGGCTGCCGCTGCTCAACCCGTATTGTATTGTTTTGTTTTTTTGTTATTGTAAAGTGTCCTTGGGTGTCTTGAAAGGCGCTTATACATAAAATGTATAATTATTATTATTATTATTATTATTACTTCACTATCACTGTATGAGGTAAAAATCAACAGCTTTTTATCACATTTACACAACACTTTATGAATACAAGTAATGAACAAATCTTAAATATGGCAGGGAATGTGTTTCCTTTTTTTGTTTTGATTTTGAGCAGCAAATTTGAAGTTACAAATTGGTGCTCACCAGGAATGCATAAGCAAAATTGCACAAATTTTCACTTGAAAGAATAGTGGCAATCTTGGGATTTTTTTCTGTTCAAGTTTCAAATACTGTGTAAATTCAATACACTTCATCTTCAGCATGTTTAGTGCCACTTTTGTAAGTAACCATGCCCCGTCCAGGCCACGCCCCGTCCAGGCCACGCCCCTTTCCGCTTTTTTCATCACTCGCAATTGCCATCACTGTCTTTAAACTAACAGTGCCGTGTAGAGGAGTCAAAAAGTACAGCTGTTCATGAAGCAAATTAGAAGCTTAATTTTCCCATTACTAGTGTATTGTATAATATTTTATAGAATAACTGAAAATATATTGTGTTATATCGTTATCGTAATACCTGTATAAATTGTTGTAAATCATGATAGATATTTCCATTTGTAAAGGTAATAAACATCTCATATATATCGACCCATTATCCAAACCGCTTTATCCCGCTTTATTGTCACGAGTGTCATGGGCGTGCTGGAGCCTATCCCAGCTGTCTTCGGGCAGTCGGCAGGGTACACCCTAAACTGGTTGCCAGCCGATCACAAAGACAAACAACCATTCACACTCAGTCACACCGAGGGACAATTGAGAGTCTTCAATTAACCTCCTATGCATGTTTTTGGAATGTGGGAGGAAACTGGAGTACCCAGAGAAAACCCATGCAGGCCTATCCATCACTTTACTAGAGATTGATCTTGTTCTCATTAGTCTTCAGTCACTTTGTTCTAAAACGTTTGTGGATCATCCCTGTAAAAGCCAATCTGGCCTTCTGATTCTTTTTGCTGAGTGGTTTGCATCTTGTGGTCTGGCCTGTATATTTCTTCTCTTGAAGTCTTCTTCAACCAGTGGATTGTGACACCTTCTGCCCTGCCCTGTGGAATTTGGCAGTGATGTCACTGACTCTTGTCTTTAGGTGTTTCTTCACTTTTCACCCACTTTTTGTGTTGCTCGTTTCATTCATGCGCTTTATATTTGTTCTGTGGTGTCTGTTGCAAGTTTGCACACGAACATAGTGACCATATGCCGCGAGTAAAGATTCATAAAAATACCCCACGGATTCGCGTTTGTCGTTGTTGCATTTTATTAATCAATTCGCCCCAATCAAGCCCAACATGTCATCCCTTCTCCCGCGAAATCTGGTAATTAAGCAAAAAGTCTCTCTTCGATGGTCACTGTGTAAGGGGCTACTGGCTGACTGTATATCGAGCCCAACTTGTTCCGACACAATGTTTTGGTTGTCACAGGTTCCAGCATCATCATCCATGATGACCCCTCCGGCTGAGGCTCCGCAGCAGCTACAGCAGCAGGCGGCGCAGCAACAGGTCCTCAGCCCTCAGCAGATCCAAGCCCTGTTCCAGCAGCAGAAGGCCCTCATGCTGCACCAGGTACTGGGCCTGGAGGGCCTTTGTCTGTCTTCAGTGGGCAAGGCAAGGCAGCTTTATTGATATCGCACATTTTTCATACACAAGGCAATTCAATGTGCTTCACACAAGTAAAGACACGACAACTACTAGCATTTGCAAACACAACAGTTCACAGCATTCAGACACAAAGTCGAGAAAACAAAAGTAAGGGCCCAAATTCTGTTTGGTTTCACTCTTGTTTTATCAACTTGTCTGCAGCAACAAATTCAAGAGGTCTTCAAGAATCAGCAAGAGCAGCTAAATATGCAGCTGCTCCAACAGAAGAATGCTGGGATAGTTAGCCAGGAAGTAAGTTCACATACAGTATTTGCCTCCGTTACCTTCACACTGACGTACAGTACGTCTGTGAATGCACCGACAGATGGCCAATGTGACAAACATGCATGATGGGAGGAACACGTAATCAGAATTCTGTGCACCTTGGCCTTTTTTCAGCTTCCCTCAATTTTACTGAGCAGAAATAAGTAGGTGATGCATCAGTATCACTGCACTCAAACATTGAGAGTGGCATAGTGTGGGTCGTGGTGGTCACCGTCGCTGGTCTCGTCCAAAATAGTCCATACGCTGGAATACTTTAAACCAGGAATTTGTCGCCGGAAGTTGGTGTCAATCTATTACAACAGCATCAAACCTAACACACAAATGGACAAAGCACACACAGTTAGTCTTATGTCCCGTATATTATGTGTTGCTGAAGTGCTTCCACGCCAAAATGAATCCAACGAGTAAATCTTCAAAGTACAAGTTGGACCATTGTGTTAAACATAAATAAAAACTGAATACAATGATTTGCAAATCATGTTCAACATACACACATTTAATTGAATACACTACTTAGACATCATATTTCATGTACAGACCGATAAACTTTATTGTTTTTTGCAAATAATCATTAGCTTAGAATTTTATGGCTGCAGCACATTCCCAAAAGCCTGGAACAGATGCCAAAAAAAAGACTGAGATAGTTGAGGAATGCTCATTCAACACCTGTTTGGAACATCCCACAGGTGAACAGGCTAACTGGCAATAGGTGTTTTGTAAGAAGTAGTTTGCTTCCCACCGAAGCAGCTTAAGTTTAGCCGACCACATCAATGCAAAGCACCCAGTCGCGAGTGCAGCCACAGCTAACATTAGCACCGAAAGCGTTAGCAATAGAATGAGCCATAGCAAAGGTCTTCGGCAAACTAAACTCGAGGAGCACACCCGGCGTACGAGGCATGAAATCAGCATAGCTGCTGTGTCCTCTGTTGCCTACTAGAAGCGATGGATGTTTATTTCAGTACTTTATTTTGTCATGATGAACAGTGCTAATTTACAGCACTATGATGTAAGGGTCTGTTTTATTTATTTTGTATTATCTGAAGTAAGTTCAGCGTTCAGTACCTGTATTTCTCGGTTCTTACTGTTTTTGATATGTTAACCTAAGCACTATTTAAGGACCTGATGTTCTATTTTATTTTTAGTTTGTAATTCTTTGGAGATTTACAAAAATAAAGAAAACAGTGATATTCCCCCTGGTGGTCGGAACTAAAGGTTGCAGGTAGGATTTGGGACTAGTCTCAACTACAGCAGCAAGTGAAATGGCTCGGACTGCACCTGTTCAAGTCTGTTTAAAAACAATAAAAGACTATAATGCCACTTTGTGATTTCAATCTTTTGATCTGCCTCAATAATGTAATGAATCTAAAATGAAAATAGGGGGTTTCTCAGCAATTTTTAGATGAGATTAAATCTAGATTAATTAGATCAATTAATGACAGATCAAAATTAATTAATCTCACTATGTTTTTAATCTCTTGCCAGCACTAATATATATATATATATATATATATACACACACACACACACACACACACACACACACACGCGCGCGGCGGCCCGGTGGTCCAGTGTTTAGCGCGCCGACCTCACAGTGCAGAGGTACCAGGTTCAATTCCAGCTCCGGCCTCCCTGTGTGGAGTTTGCATGTTCTCCCCGGGCCTGTGTGGGTTTTCTCCGGGTACTCCGGTTTCTTCCCATATTCCAAAAACATGCACGGCAGGCAGTTTGAACACTCCAGATTGTCCCTAGGTGTGCTTGTGAGCGCGGACGCTTGTTTGTCTATGTGTGCCCTGCGATTGGCTGGCAACCGGTTTAGGGTGTCCCCCACCTACTGACCGAAGACGGCTGGGATAGGCTCCAGCACCCCTCGCAACCCTTGTAAGGATAACGCGGAACAGAAAATGGATGGATGGATATATATACGCACGCACATACACAGACCCCCTCATCGAACAAAGTCACGCAATCAAGGCAACCCACATTATTAGGCCCCTCCACCTCCGTTTTGGAGAAAATTTAAGACATTTACGTGCGCCTGTGGGTCGTGAAAATACAGTGTGTGTATGTGTTTGTGTGTGTTGGGATGCAGGAAATGTTTAGTTTGTTTCTCAATGTGTGGTTTGTATGCAGACAATTAAGGGAGTGATTCTGCCCACATTAGTTGATCCTTTGGGAGTACTCTAAAACCAAAGTGAAAGAAATCGCATAATGGTTGTCGCTAAACTTCAGAAAGTCCAGCATCTCTTCCCATCAATGCCGTCACCACTAACTGATGCTCTGCCGTCTTTGCGCCTGCTTTGCTGACATCCCAAACAGCTGCTGTTGAATTGCGTCTTCACTCCAACGCATTTCAGTCGCAGGTCAGGTTGTTCCCTCAGACGGCCATTATGACTGTGAAACCATCATATAATAATATGCACGATTGACTCCTCATGGCAGATTTACACAACAAATCAGAGGTCAGGAAAAATATTTGGTCACAAATTGTTGTACAAAAAATGCATTCAATATCTCATGATTAAAAGTGAAGACCATTTGTAATTTTGCTTCCAATTTTGATCAGTACACTTTGTGCTTTGGCGGCCCATATAAAATGTTGAAGCGGGCCATATTTGGTCCTGAGACCTTGACTTTGACACCTTATCGACCTTATAGCTAGACTTGCGTCTTTTGAATGAAAAAACAACGTCCCATTTCAAAAAGGTTTTTGTTGCACCCCTAGTAATATGGCATGACTCCTTCTCTTGGCTGGCTTCATGCCAGCCCTTAGATCACTCCAAAATTGCATCACGGGTGTTTGCCCCTGCCTTTAAGACACCTGCAAAATCAGCCTTGTGCACTAACCAGGATTTCAATTGATTCGAGTCCATTTTTTTCCCCTTTCCCCCCATTCGGCAGACGCAGTCTTGAATGCGCCTGGTTAGTCGATCAACTTCCATATCTGTTTGCAAGCGCATTCGAGTTTGTGGCCTTGAATAAATCAGGCCGTTTGTGTCCTAGCTTACGGCACAGCAGATCGCCATCCAGCAGCAGCTTCTTCAGGTGCAGCAGCAGCATCTGCTCAACCTGCAGCGGCAAGGCCTTCTCTCCGTGCTCCCCACCAGTGTTGCCGGTACGTCGCGCCCCCGCGCCCCCTTCCTCTCTTTGATTTGCCACGAGGTAAAGGTCACACAGACATACTCTTATCAAGTGTTGGGTTTTCTCATAGGCTGTGAAAATGAAAATGACACTGGTGCGTTATCTGCGGGCGGGGACTCCAGAGAGTCGACCAATCACCAATCTGCGACCAACGGCCATCCCGCTCTCCTGAAAAGGAAGGAAAGGTGCTTTCCTGTGCACACTGAACCCTTTTATACATCCTGTTCAACTGTGGCGCCTGTTCTTTCTTATGCTTGCACGTCCAGAGATGCATCACTGACGCCAGTCATATGTTGTGACTCGTTTCAGCAGCTCGCTGGATGAAAACGCACCAGGTAGCCATGCTCTGTACGGGAACGGCATGTGCAAATGGCCTGGCTGTGAGACAGTTTTTGGAGACTTTCAGGCGTTTTTTAAGTGAGTAGCAGCTCATTGGACCCTCGAATAAGACACACCCGTGATACTTTTTTTTCTGCCTTTTGGATCTCAAAGAGAACCAGGTCAAAGATTATTTTCTTCAATACATTTGTTTTTGTAGTGGTGGCATACTCTATGCTTTTACTTTGCGTATGCATGTATGTATGTGTATATCTTTGGCACATTGAACACATTTGTTTCCATGTTTGCTGCTCATAAAAATGCTTTCAATGGTGTTTTTCTGCAGGCATTTGAACAGCGAGCACACACTTGACGACAAGAGCACTGCGCAGTGTCGCGTGCAGATGCAAGTGGTTCAACAGCTGGAATTACAGGTTTGTTTTTACCAATCTAGTTTTTTTTTTTTTTTTAATTTGCACATTGACGTTATTTAAAATGGCTGCCGGCTGCAGTGCCATGTTGTTTTCACACCACGTCTGGAACCAGAAGTGGCATCTTTCGATAAGCTTCCACCTCCGGGTGTGCCGGAAAATTTGCGTGTGCCAGAGAGTTTTTGTCATGTATCGCAACCAGCGAACTTAGCACCTCTCATTTCCCATCTCAGCTCAAGAAAGACAAAGAGCGACTTCAAGCAATGATGGCTCATCTGAAGTCGTCTGAGCCCAAAGCTGCAGCTCAGCCCGTAAGTTTCTGTCACTTAACGCTTTGACATCCACTGCGTGGTTCAACAGACACAGTTGCAATCTTTTTTTTTTCTCTCAATTTGCTTATCCTCCGCAGGCGAACTTTGTGCCTAACATGTCCTTCTCCCAGGCAACGCCACCCAAAGGTCCCCATATGAGCTTGTCCCAGAGCGCCACGGCGCCGTCCACGCCCTTGATGCCCCTGTCCGAATCCCCGTCGGTCCTCACTCCCAACGCCGGCTTCAACGGAACCCCTGTACGCAGGCGATACAGCCGCTCTGTCAGCCAAGGTGAACGGCAAGCATGCACTCAGCAGGTGGACAAATGAGCTTCAATCCAACTCCTCTTTGCTCCTGACATGCAAACGAAACACTGTTGTATGAGCAGAAAGTCGTTTAAAAAAAAAAAAAAAGGCATTTTGAACCTACATTCAATCTGAAAAGCATATTAATTGGAAATGTTAGTGTAAGATTGTTGTCTTTTCAACAGATATCGTTGATAATAAAGAGTTCTACCTAAGCACAGAAGTGAGACCGCCGTTCACGTACGCATCGCTCATACGACAGGTAAAGGCGGCGTTGTATGAAAATGCAAAACTGGATGTCTGCAAGAATTTGCCATTTTCTCTTCATCTTCGAACGTTTCCTTCATCTCCATCAGGCAATCTACGAGTCACCGCGCAATCAATTGACTTTGAATGAAATCTACAACTGGTTCACAAGAAACTTTGCCTATTTCCGACGCAATGCAGCCACATGGAAGGTACGGATGTCAATTTGTGCCCGTCGTGTGCATCTTGTAACGTCTTTTCTGGGAATGGCCAGAATGCTGTCAGACACAACCTGAGCCTCCATAAGTGCTTTGTACGCCTGGAGAATGTGAAGGGAGCCGTGTGGACGGTTGACGAGATCGAGTTCCACAGACGAAGGCCCCAGAAGGCAGCCGGTAATGGGTGAGTTGGCTAATGCCTTGTTGACGCCACACCATCTCAGACCCGACGTTCCACCCGAATGTTTTTGGGAGCTTTGGAGTCGGAGACGCCACCAGTCATTTCCTGCAAGCCCTGACTGTTTTTTTTTCCTCTCTCTCTTTGCAATTACAGATCTCTCCTGAAAAACCGGCAGAACTTAGCTGGGTCTGCTTCCCAGGTAGGCTCCTGGTGTCTGAACGGCTTTTCCCGCGTTTGATGGTCAATTGGGAAAGTGGATGCTTTCACACTGTCAATTCTGACGGCGACATCGTTTTGTGTTTTCGTTTGCAGATTGGAAGTTTAGACTGCACCGCCTTCTACAACCCGTGTGCGATGGGAAGCATCCCATTGCATTCCCTGCCTCACATCCTCCAGGAGCAGATGAACGGCGCCCTTGCCAATGGGTCCGGCTACCAAAGCGACAGCAGCGCAACGCAATCGCCCCCACAAGCTCTGTACGCACCAACGCGAATTGTGAGATTGTAGACGATGAACCGCCTTTCACACAGCACACTGTGTCCTTCTGTTTTTGTTAAAGCAGCATCAAAGAGGAGCAAGAGGACGAAGAAATTGCTGAAAATTACCCTTATGAATCTCCCGGGAGCACAGATGAACACGGCCACAGCCCGGAGACGAACCGCGACAACGACAGTGGCAGCCCGGAGAGGCTTCGTCTCGACCGCGTGCCTTCGCTCTGACCACGAGGTCCAAGATCTCCGAGTGCATATTCCAAAAGAGTCCAAAAGCTACTGCTTCATTTGTATAACCAAACATACTCTTGTCGTTCTTTTTATTATTTATCAGTATTTTGTTTTTTGTTCTTTTAATCTTGTTTTTAATTCTGTACAGTCAAGTAAGATCACACACGTGAAACTGTCTTTTCATGGTTGATATTTTTTAAAACACGAGCATGAGAAGCGGAGAAGCCAAAGCATAGGAACACTGATAGGGAGCACTTCACGATTGAAAGAAGAAAAAAAAAAAAAAACACTAGTTGATTTTTATTGTAGTTATATTATATATGCATTTGTAGAGAGATGATTCCTGATATGTTCACTGCCTCCGTGATCGCATATATTTGTATGTAATGATATCATCAGGTGATTCAAAAAGAGAATGTCTTTATACGTGTTGGTATTTTTCACCCCCACCACAAACATTGCTGAATTTTCTCAAGTTGAGCATGTAAGAGTAGATTCTATAGATATACCTTTTACTGTAGACCAACTCAATGAAGAATAAATTCATCATGATAACTGTCAAAGCTGAGTCTTTGTTGTGTGTGAGAGAGAGAGAGAGAGAGAGAGAGAGAGTTCCCAATCTGCCCTTGTAGCCAATTAAACGGGGGAGTTTGCAGTGTTACAAGTGCTAGCAAGATTTGAATGCAGCCTCACTTTGCTAACCCCCCCCCCCCCCGTTACTGTACAAGTGGAATTCTCAAACAGGCCTTTCATGATGGCATGCAATTACAAAAGTGTGTAGTCGTGATTTATAGTCTCAGAACACATATTCCGCTTTATCACAATAGCAGCACGAGCAACGCTGAAGTAGCATTAGCATTTCAAACCGACGCTAGCAGTAGCTGCTACTTTGATTTATTCGCAAATGAGTTGTAACTACAGTATAACATGAAATGTCATAGCAGAAATGTTGCTAATACTGTGTCGCATCTGAATCATCTCAGCTGCCTGAGGTTGCTTGGCTGTTGCTTGTGTTTGCTAGTCTTATGCCCAGGTGTTTGCAAATGAGGGATGGATTTCTTTTTTTTTTTCTTGCCATTGTTTCAGCAAAGTTTCTGAAGCGCAAGGTGACAGGTCAGCAAGGCTACAGAGTGCTTGAATCTGTGATTGGTTGTGGGTTCTTAAAATCAAATTTGATGTACAACGTAGGCACAGCGGGGGGTTTTTTTCCACAGTGTTGCTGTGACTGGCGTCATTGACCCGTACTAGACAATGTGTGGATTTAAAATCCATTTCTTTATTTTCGATATTGGTTTTCTGTGTAGTTCATGAAGCCATTAAGAGCGTTGAAGTGATGTGGGACCATTTTGTCTTCTTTTCTGTTATAAGTGGCCATGTTCGTGTCTCCTGTGTGTCATGATGTCACACACTTCTAAAAGTGCCTCCTGATTGGCGAGTAAGGATGGATGAGGAGGAGTGGAAGTGGAACAAGATGGGATACATGAGCTCAACCGTACAGAGCTCCTAATCCCCACTCAGATGGAGTAATTACTGCCAAAAACAGGTAATATGTCTTTTTTTTTCCAATTAGATATTTGACATGAAATTTCTTCTTGACATAATTGAAATCATATCTAACTCATTCGAAGAGTAAGCAACAAGCATGTTTATTTCACTGCTCAGCATTTTTTTAACCAGTTTTTAAAATCAGAGATGCATGTTTGTAAACTTTTCTAGATTATCTTTTTGCACTGATTGCGAAGCTACTTTCATTTTTCTCTAGCACATACCTTTTTCCATAATAATAATAATAATAATAATATGTAATATAGTAATGTAATAAGATTTCTGAATTACGGGTTCAGCAACAGGTGGATTTTTTTTAATCAGAAGTGTCATAGCTACTGTATAAATTGCAAGGCATGGTCAAATTTGTATTGTGCATGCTTTAATGTGTCAAATTTTACATTAAGGGACACATAAAGCCATATCTTGATGAAAATTTGCTGTTGATGAGTGTCATTGTTTACACACACACACACACACACACACACACACACACACAAGCCCAAAGGCATTGTTTGCTGTCAAGTAGAATTTTCTTTGCTCGACAGAAGATGACGTCTCCCTCACTTGCTCCCGAGATGAATTTTATGGAGCTTGGGGAAAAAGTCAACCCCGAGTGTGATGGTAGGTATACAATATCTTGTTTATGATTTAACTGCAGAACCTTGAATGAATGAATCTAAGAATTCAGATATACAGTATACTGAGTGAGACAGATTGTCTGTATTTACATTTACAATAATTCAGAGTTTGGACAGACACTGACTATCGTAGGCAAATAATCAGGACAAAAATGTCATTTGATGTCACTCAACAAAATAATGTTTGTGATTACCATGAACACCTCTTGTGCGGTAGGGAGCCCTCCCACCTGCTTGGGGCAGGAAACACACATCGGGTGGGATGGACCCAGAATCTTGGAAGCATGCTCGGAGGTTTTGAAGAGCAGCAGCAGCAGTGTGTTTTCCTCTGATGATTCACCAGAGCCTGTCACTGACGGTAGCGCACATGTTTCAGTGACAATCAAAACTGTTCACGATTGAAACAAAAACCGAGGTGTCTCTTTTCCGCCCCCAGAGGACTGTGCAGGAATTCTGCTGGCTTGTCTGCATTGTCGCTTCCATGAGTTTATGCACCTGCTGGTGGACACATTGGACCGGGCTGTCGGCCATTGCTTTCCTTCAGTGAATCAAGTCACCGAATCCATTGAGGGCGACCATCAGGGATGGGAGTGCTTGACCTGCAACCTGGGACTGGACTGGAACTTTTGCAACTCCTGCCAGGACTCAGCAGAACTTCTCGAGCTGGCCATGGAGATCTCAGAAGTATGCTATCGCTGAGAAGAGCCCGGTAAACACGAGGGTGGCACGCTTTCATACAAAAGTGGCACTGAAAAGTTGTCATTCCAACACAGTGGTTCCCAACCAAAGTGCCGTGAGCAATCATCGGCTGTGCAAGAGGAAATTGAGCCCGAGAACTCGAGCGACCATGCTAAGTGCAATAATGGCCTGCCCACCATGTGTCGGAATTGGAATGTAAACTTGATTTAGTATTCAACTGAAAGGTACTGCATGCTCTTCTAGTCCACAGTGTCAAACTCAAGGCCTGAGGGCCAGATCGGTCCCTGCCACATGATTTTATATATCTCATGGAAACAAATGATCTGCATAGACTTTATTTTTCTTGCTAGAGTACCAAATTGCAACTTCTCGTTACTTTTAAAAATGAGCAAGCATTTTTTTTTTGTCATCACCCCCCCCCCCTTTTTTTAAATTTTATTTTATTCTTTTAAGAAATGTAATGAACCACCGGTTATTACTGGCCTCTGATTTTAAAACTATGTAGATATTCATCAATTTGTTGTTTTTATGTCTTATAAGGTCATACATTTATTTGGGTTCATGTTACAACGTCCCTCCGAAGGAAACCAGAACTACGGTGCGGCCCGTGATGAAAATTACTTTGACACGCTTGTCAAAGTGTCAAAGTCATGTCCACTCATTTCTGCACTTCACTTTGCAGAAAATAAAGTTTACATCACTGGTCTGAAAATTATTCTTCGCTGTAGCTTGGTTTGAAAGCTGGGGTCACTATATGTTGCAGGTGTAGATAAGACTAATTCATGTTCTTCTAGTAGATAAAAGAAAGTAATTCACTTGGGTACCCAGTTATGTATTCTTTTTTTTTTTTTTTTGGCATTAACATTTTTGTCTGGTGGTGTGCCATGAGATTTTTCTCATGTAAAACAGGAGTCTCCCTCAGCTCAATAAAGGTTGGGAAACACTGTTCACTATTGTGCCGGTGTGCGTTGAGCAACCAGTAGACAAAGCTTGTTGGAGCCGTGATGCTTGTGGAGAGACGAAAAGACGCTATGTACGGGATCGGTACACTAACCGGCCACAACGTCGTCACTTTGAGTACAAGAGCTGATTACACATGGAGGCCAAGGCTCACTTCATTCTGACAGCTGTTAAGTGAACGATAAGCTCATGACTGCACTGAGGCCGTCATTTGGCAGTGGCGTACAATTGTACTGTGTCATCCTGAGAATCGTGTAATATTGTGTAAGTCATTTCAGACCCAATGGATACGTTTCACTGGAATAAAGAAATGCTGCTGACCAGAACAAAAAGGTGGGGTACACCCTGGATTGGTCAGCGCTCAATCACAAATCATAGACAACCCGAACAAGCATGCGTTTGCCTTCCGTGGACACAAGTCACGCAAGTGCGGGTATAAAATGTTCACACGGCACACAGAAAGAGCATCGGATTCAAACCCAGAAGCTTTGGGTGCAAGGCAGACATGCAAACTACGAATCACCGCTGGGCGTCGTCACTTCAAATCCGTTCCACATTTAAAAACTTGATTTTGGTTGAACTTTCAGTGTAAAATTAAAGCAAACAACAATCATTGTGACATTTACTGTGTTGGGTGCGCGATATTTTTCAGTGTGGTTGACATTGGACAAATCGACATGGTTTTTATTTTCACATGAAAACTGAGAGGGAAAAAAAACCCTCCAAACTCTTAAATAAACCTTTTAATGTTTTTCCAAACATACCGGAAATTTGAGTTCACAGAATCGAGTGCATACAGTGACTATTGCCACACCTCTACAAAACCGAGCAAGAAGCAGAGGACACGTTAGAATGAACCACAGAGGCCCAAGAGCAAGTCCGCGGCACAAACTTGATACTTCATCTGGAACAGGTGTCGTAGAATCACAGCGGGTGCCTTTCATGTTGCTTCACTGAAAGCTGAATCACATTTGCAGGTTCAGCCGGGTTGTAAAAAAAAATTATAACTCAAGATTGGCATCAAACGATGAAGCTTACCGGGAAGCATTTGTGTCAAGGGAGGCCTACGCTTTGCCTCGACCAGAAATCGAAGTGTTACTTGCACCAGATAACAAAGTTGGCCAAATCTCCGGAAAAGCCAAGGGTTGCATAACGCTCCCGTTACATTCCTTTCCGTCCAGATGGTCAAGAAGCTTTAAACGGTTCACTTCAAATCCATACTACTTCTTGGAACGATCCTGTTCGGCGGGGGAGCTGAGCTCATGAGATATTACAGCTACTGTATATGCAGTAACTTTGGCACACTGGCAGCACATTGGCGGCTGTCGTCAATTTGAATTACATTCAGGCAAACAGAAATGTCAGTGTTAAATTCCAACTATGGGATTATCATCCATAAAATAAATAACACATAGGTGGCAAATATTAAGTGTCAATCAGCCAAGATTATTCATCAAGAATATATTTCAAAAAATAATAAATCTTGATCCAAACAAACCACCTCTTCTCCAACAGTACTTGTGAATATAATAAATGGCCACAATTCAAAAGATTGAATATTCAGCAGATTGATGTTTGGTTGTGTTTGTTGGAGAAGCTTGCTACTTGGACTAACATGACCTTTGTTGTCCAGAAGAATCGGAGTCAAACGAGAAATAACATGAAACAAAATACTGTTTCCTTTTTTTTTTTTTAAGAAGACGTACCTACATTTTAAAAAAAATGTGGAAAAATATACACTAAACAGGGATAGGTTTAATCACAGATAAATTAAAGGCTGTTCTCCTAAAACGTTCTTGTACATCACTTAAATGATTTATCATTTTTATCACAACACTTTTTAGTTTCTATTAAAAAATACATTTTCTATGCCTCTGTGAGTATGAGTTTTTTCTTTTTTTTATTTTTACTGCAAAAGGTTTGTAAAGCAGCTTGACATTCTCCCTAAACGCCAATAAACATCTGCAACACAATATTGGTGCCACAATCTCCAGCTCCTCTTAGATCAGTGGCGAAACAGGGAACACCTCAAGGCACTTACATCATTTATAAAGATCACATGATCAGGACGTGAATAGACAGGCACAAACAAACTCAACCGTTACCTGGCTGGAGACGGAGTTGTAACAGGGAAGAAGTCAATACCATGCTCAACATCATGTGCTACAAGTGCTGGAAAACAAATACACAATCTTCATACATCAGAAGTCTTATGCAATATTGTGTAAATGTTGGGAAAAGCCCAGAAGGATCATGACACAATGCATAGATACCGAAAAGGAAAAACAAGTTATGATTTGATTTAAAGAGGTAATTCCAGTGTTTCTTTTTACATGTGCTTCATAAAATACATTTTTGCGTAAATTCTTGGCAAGAGGCTTTTGGATGCATGGTTGTCCTGTGACTATGCGCTCCGCAGACCTGACAAGTGAAACTATTCGAACCATGTGGTCAGACAGGTGGCAAACGAAAGGACCGAAGAGCTGGGAGGGTCACCCTTCTGCTCTGTATCTACAGGCATCTCTGACAATCAAGTCATGTACCTTGATATATATATGATGACGTCATTATTTGTGGCTAAAATGAGCTTCATTGTCGGAAAACGGCAATGTTCTGGTACAGCGCTGTCTAAAATGGCTTTCATCAATTTGCTTATTTACTTTGTACTTGTTTTCGGTAACATTACCCAAATAGCATAATGGCCCTCGTCATTGTTTCCATACTGTCACAAGAGCAATAAAAATTCCACTGTTTGCCAAACAGCTGTGTTTTGAATTAAATGTTTGTCGTGCTTTTTTTTTCTCGCGTTCAAAAACGACGTGGAGAAAATGCAGTTAGGATCACGAAAAATGATGTTGCAGGGGAACGTATGAACCACTTACCAAGATATAGCATTTGGCTTCCATCTAAAACCGATAAATTTGTCAAGAAAGAGGTTTGCGTTGAAGACTAACAACCACGGCAGGTGCATCGCGATTCAATACTGATGTCATAATAAGGCATCGACATGTTCAAGTTCGAAGACACAAGGAGTGTAAAGCACTACAGTAATAAATACCTTTCTTCTATTACTGCTATTGTGATTAAAAAAGCAGCGCTTCCTCACCACAAGCTCTACTGCGTTAGCATCATTTGTCATTTCCTCACATTCTTTGGAATCACCACAAATAGAGTGAATTTGGCATCTACCCGACGATAAATACGTTTTCTTTTACATATAAAACTCTAAAAGTGTAACTATTGTCATCAACGTTTCGATTAAAGCTAACAGACGTTAAAACCAATCCTTGAAAATCAAGGTTGAGGTCTTCGAAAGACACCGACATAAAAAAAAGAAAAGCAAAGACTGAAAACGTGTAAACGCTGAAAAAAAACACCGGCAGCCCAGAGTGAAGCCGCATGGAGGGGATCGTCCAGAAGGGGGCGCTAACAGCCCTGCTCATTCTCATCCATGCTTACGCTGCTCTTGCGGCTGCTGTCCTTTGAGGCATCCGGGGAGACTGACGAGAGCAAAGGGTCCCCGCCTCGCACAGGCGAGACGTTGTCTTCCATGAGGATGTCGTTGAGTTTGGAGGCCGGCCTGCCGTGAATGCCGTAGTGACCGTCGGCGAAATTGGGGTGACCCTCGTTTCGCTCCAGGGTGCCGGGGTGCTCGGGCGTGCAGGCGGGGTGCTGCTGGTGATGCGTGTGGGGGCGGAGCGTGTACAGGTCCTGGTGACAGTCCTCCAGAGCGGGCTCCTGCTTGATCCTCCGGCCCACCAGGTCAGCGGAGCACAGCGCCGAGGACGTGATGGCCAGGCCGTGAGCTCGTGCCTGCATCTCCAACTCCTGCACACACGTGCGCGCATACGAAGAGCAGTGAATGGCGACTCGCTGTTTTCATTCATAAAATCTCGCACACAAGGTGCAGAGTAAAGAAGAAAAGGTTATTTATTTTCACGTGGGTGAATGAATCCACGAATAAAACAATGTGCGAGTCGGTCTACAGTGCGGGCTGACGACGCGCGAGGTCTTGCACCTAAACTTATTGGTATCAGCATTGCGAGAGTGAAAAGACACAAATGAGCTCAAAATTCCTCGATATCAGTCACAACAAACTAAGTTCAATGTTAAAGTTCAAAAGTTTGGTGCGATTTTCATTTTTCTGACTTTTAATTTTGATTCCAAATTGGAGAATGCCAGTAACGAAAAGGTAGTTTGTTTGTTAAAATACCATGTGCTCAAAAACAGTCAAACAAGGATGTGCAGTGCACATTTTTGAGAGAAAAAGAAAACAGCTGAAAAGCAGATTTGTGGAAACATCTCACAAAAAAAAAAACAAACAACCCCCCCTCCCCCCCACAAAGATTAAGTACAGTAATCCCTCGTTTCTCACGGTTAATGGGGACCGAAATCACCCACGATACACGAAAATCTGCAAAGTAGTGAACCCCCGAGTAAAGGTATATGTACATGTGTATGAGTATAAATAATATTTATAAGGCCAAATTTAATGGTATACATGCATGTTTGTAGTAATTAACATTACTTAATGCTTTATACTAATATATTTAAACATGTATTAAGTTAGGTTAGGTTAGTGTATGAATAACGTCATACAGTAAACACATACATGTAGTACTGTATATGTTGCTCTATGTGACTCGGTGTTCTTTTGCTGACTTTTACTGCCTCTTGCGGACCTTTTGTGAACTTTTTGCGGCATTTTCGTTTTTTTTTTTTTTTTAATGAATATGTTTGAAAAAAATCTGCGATGCACCGATGCCGGGATAAACGAACCGCAAAATAGAGAGGGATCATTGTATGTCTATGGAATATGTATGTTAGGAGCTGACATGCATTAGGTCGACTTCATGCGTGTCATGTCACTGGAAGTGAGCATTTGGGAAACTTTGTGAAATTGGTTATAAAATCTACATCCATTTGCACATGATGTGCAATTTTTTTTTAAAAAAGACACCTTTTATTTTGTGATATGAAGCACACTTAATTGTGTCTGCCTGGGGCATAGGAGTCATGCTAGTTAGTTGTTGTAGTAGTTTGTGCTTCGTGAAGTCTGCACTCGCATGGATACAACCATGTTCAGTTTGCAGCTAACGAACGGTACGTTGAAAGTGTGTGAATTGCTTCAAGCTAGACAGCAACCATGTGATTAATCAGGCGAGGTCTGTATCGTGTGTGAAAATCAACTGAGGGACAACAAGTTAACGGGCCAGTAGACACTGTCTGTTCTTTTCACACTGAATCATTTGTTTTCTTTGCTAATTTCGAGAGGTCGTGCGGGGCACATGCTTTAAAAATGATGGGACGATAACTCCACTTTGCTTTGTTCCTACTGTGAATGAACTTCAGGGCAGCAACCACTAGCGCTGGGAGTGGTTAGGGGAGGGTAGTGAAACCAGGCCCCTGACATTTAACAGGGCGACACGTGTCACTGCCACATCTGCCCGAAGCCTGCTATAGCTATTCTGTAACAGCGCATGTCTCATGTAACATGTCACATTATACTTGCATTATTGCAAATTCCAGCCATCCGTTTTCTGCCGTGCTTATCTTGTTGAGGAATGAGCAGAATTGGAGCCTCACTCCCGCTGATTTCAGGTGAAAGGCAGACGACATCCCGCAGCACATGTCGAGACAGACCAGCATTTTCATGCGCTTTCGCCACCATTAACCGAGTTGGGAAATGAACCAATGCTTATTGCACGCAAGTTTGGCGAGTGAACCACTAAATCCCGCTGCAACCGGCAACAGGTTTTCGACAACTGCACACAAGTGATGGTTTTGTCTGGGTTACCGAATTGTAGTTTATAGCATGGAATAAGATTGAATGAGAAGGATCATGAGGACGTCTTCCACTACCTGTATCCTCAGCATAAGATGCCGATTGGCATTTTCAAGCTTCCTCTGACAGTTCTCCAGCTCTTTGGCCCTCTGCTGCTCACGCTGCAGCTTCCTGATGTAGTCCACGGACGCCTTGAGGATGGTGCCCTTGTTCCAGCGCATGTCTCTGAGAAGCACATAGTAGCCCGAAGTTAGCCATGTTCCATAGAGCCCTTCATCTCAGACGTAACTAATACTACTGAGACAACATTGCTAATGAGGCGTGTCATAGGTTTGAGGCGTCTTGCGCCCGCACGTTGCGTCGCCATAACTCGTACATGTTTGACACCGAAAAGTCAGGAGGTCCCCCCAGGCTTTGATATTTTTGCGTTCTGGTCTTTTGCAACAGTTGTGACGTACAATGTTACAGGGTCTAAAACGAGACATCCTGTGGTTCCAGCGCCCTCTTTAATTCCCCCAGACATCAATTCGGCACTGTTGGCTCGGCTAGTAGCTTATCGGTGTAACATTCTTTGTTTCCCACCCTACATCCTGAATAAAGACGAGAACAATAGAGCCTTATGGGAAGAAGCCCCTATAGTGTCGGTTTGAAAAAAGAAAAAAAAAAAAAAACGGACTTCTTTGCAAAAGTGAGGCCTATTGTGAAATTTGCATGGGAATACAGAAGGGGGATTATCATGTTCCAATTCCTACTGCAACAATTTTATTTTCCTCACTTTGTGAGTGTACACTCACCAATACAGAAAATATTGTATATTCTCAAAGATTACACTGTACAACAAAATTCCCTTCTAATGTGGGCCACTAATTACAAAGAGATATGTATGACACGATCTGTAACAAGTGCATTTTCTATTGGAAAAAGAACGACAGATCAGTATAAGTCTCGCAGTCAAATCTTAGAATTAAAAAAAATATATATATTCATTGACGAGCGTAATCATTGTCAAATTCTAAAAAATCTTCCTGTGTTTAATGAGGGGAAAAAAAGCCCCGCCCACTTGAAAAAGGCCAGGATACAGAACGTTGATGAGGTCAAGGTATCAAATATTGCCGGGAAAAAAACAAATATTTACGGCATCCGGCATCCGGTAACAATGTTTGGCCACTTCCGTGTTTACCGCATGGACATTTGTTGCTGACGGACGCACACTTCCGGAAACAGACTTCCACGGAGTAAGAAGAATAGGTAGCCATGGTGAGATGAAGCCCCAAGAGGCTTCGCACCATTTCACCCATTGGGTTTGTGCAAGGCTTCATTTCTTGGTGCATCATGCGCACACGAAGCCACCTGCCGACCATGTGTAGAATTACAGGCAGCTGTATCTTAACTTCACCACACCGATGCGTCAGTGATTTTCACGTCTGCTTTGACACTTGGGCATGATGAGTTATAAGAAATGGATGACGAAATAATTTCTCGACATGTGTGTAGTGTATAGGAGTAATACGACATATTAATTTTTTTGCGAGTAAGGTACAATACAATACAATGCAACTGTTTGTCTAAAGAAGCATTTCACAAGAGTATTTTTTTTTCCTTTTGGACTCACTTTCCTTGCAGCACAAACAAGTCACCGTTGAATAAAATAAATTAAAATGAAAAACATAGGCGTCTTGTCCAAGGTGCAAACTCAAACCTCTACTGTCCACTGAAGGGAAAGTCGTGCTCTCATCCACTAAACTAAATCTCTGCCCTGCTTTCATCACCGCAAACACCCTCTTTTGTGAAGATTCCCAGGAGTGTGGAATGTGACCGTACACTCATGAGTGTGAAGACACATGATTATTATCTTTTATTCATTCATTTATTTATTTTAAAAGAAACCCCTTAAGGTCCACCTAAATGGCCGCAAGAGGCACCTGACCAGGCAAGAGAGCACAACACCAGACCCTGGCTGACATTAAAACGAATATGAAAATGTTGTTTGCTTTGAAGTGAGTTCTCACACACTGCGATAACGGAAACGGGTAACACTAAATTGACATCAAGTATTAAGACTACATGGCAGTTTGCCTGGCATAGAGGATGCGTTTTATGTTACAATCGTTATATCAATGCAGGAAACGCAAAAACTCCAAAGAGTTGCTGTTTTTAAAGAATCCAAATTAGCTCGGTACACTTCTGCGCGGGAATACTACTGGTAGGCGTCTGGAAGACTATGCGGGTAAAAGGCGTGACTTACGGGTCATTTGACTTTGGAATTAAAGTTCCCAGTTCCTTAATTCGATCGTTGATGTTGAACCGTCGTCTTCTCTCAACTACAGGACAAAAGTAGACGGGATGAAACATGATGCTCGAGCGCTATCCAAGTACATTTGCCTCAAATGAATGCAACACTCACTCAAGTTGTGGTTGTCCTTCTTCTGTCTCTCCTTTGCTAGAGCTCTTACCTCAGCTGCGGGGAAACGCAGAGGTCAATGCCCGTGCAACCCATATAGCGCTGATATTTAAAAATCAAATGTCACACATACCAACTGGAAAGCCTTCAGGCCTCTGGTAGTTGTCAAATTTGCCACATGATCCAGACTTATCCAACATGTGCATTACGGCCGGAGATTGTGATGCTGCACGGTGGATGTTTTCAGTGTCGGTGACGTACAAGAGAGGCACAGATACAAGGGAGCGTTACAAACGATTCTTCTCATTGATGGGCGACGTTTCAGAGGCAATGCAATGCTATGATATCAGGGGAGTAGAACTGGGCACTGATGTTTTCCACGCAGATAAAATAAAGAGTTGCGGAATTTTCATTCAATTCAACCACTGGATCCTCCAAGCACTTACCTGGATATTCCCTTTTGATGTTGGGCAGGTTGGCAGGGCAGGAGTTGCTGACGGACAATCCTTGCTGGGGCATACCCTGATTTGCATACATGTCCATGAGGGTGGCGGGCACCGGGATCTGAGGGACACAGATGATGATGGGAATCGTGGCTCTCGGTTTCAAACGTAACTCCCAAATGTGGCAATGAGGCTGTTGCTAAGGATGTACCGTGTTGGCCATTTGAAGTCCTGGGTCCATCAGGCCGAGGATATCGTCGCTGTAACTGGACTCCAGACTAATAATGTCATCGATGACATCATCCATCTAAAGCAAAAGGACATCATTCAAGCAAGAGCTGATAAAAATGGGCTTTCATTCGGAATGGACCGGAGCGGCCGCAGCGACCTCTTTCTCGCAGTTGGAGTTCAGGGTCAGTAAGGCCATAGGGCTGTTGGGGGCGCTGTTGCCCGGCCCTGGCGGCATGCCACCGTGATCAGAGGACTGGTTGGGGCAGGGCAAGCTCAGTACCTGTGAGCCAAGCTTTCCCAGGTACTGCTTGACCTGCTGCTGCTGGGAGCGCTGGATGTGGTACTTGGTCGGGTTCTCCAGATGTGTCTGCACCTGATGCGACCCAAAAGAACATCGACCACATCAGTTTGGGATGTCAGCCATAGTGTACGTAACTTAAACTCACCTGAAATACAAAAAAACGGATAAACAAAGTCTACATACCCCCCTGTTTAAATGGGAGGGATTTTTTTCCTGTTTTTTTTTCATACCCACCTGCGAGGTAAGAAATATTTCAGTTTGAATGGAATGTTTGGTTGTAATTCACTGACATAAGATGACACAAGCCTTTATAGTATATTGAAGAGTTGTGGGCCATCAGGGCCTACGAGGCCTTCTCTGTTGGCCTAAACACGATCAGAAGCACTGACCTACTTTGCATAGTTACAACCTGGGTCTTAAAATTTGTTCCTTCAATTTGTATTAAAGATAAGATAAGAAGGGGGGGTAGAAAAGAAGAACAAAGTATTGCATGCACAAAATAAATGTTTCAGAAAAAAGAACTGTACACAGTACAGAATGCAATATAAAATATAATATATAGATATAAGCATATATGCAACTGCATATATGCTGCATTAATTTTTTCCCAACAGTTTATTCCCTTCATTTCGTAGCGTATCACTTAGCTGCACCCCTTCCAGTAGTAGGTGTTAGACATATTTTGAGCCTGAATGTTCTGCCATGACAACCTCCTCCGCCAGGAGCCTTCAGAATCAGTAGTTACTTCAGCCATACTATCAATGGGACTGTTTCTGTAGCCAATCAGATTTCCGATTCATCCTGACAGAATTAGCCTGGTCCAGAGAGCTGGCCCTTGATGGTCTCAGCATTTTTTTTTCCCCTCCTCTGATTGGTGAGTCAAAGCAGAACTTTACACGTTAATACAGTGAATAAAAATGATCTCTGGTGATGATTCAAATGTCTTATAATGTCTTACGTGTGTGTCATGTCATTAGAGTAATACTGATGGTGAAGTCCTCTACATGATGAACTGTACGCGGCCCTGTAACATACAGTTTTGTATAGTAGCAACGTGATAGTGGTGGTATTAAATCAGGCCTGGGCACTCAACACATGACTCACAACTGTCTACTGATGTTAGGATTTTAGTCATTCATTCATCCTTTTTTTTTTTTGGTAGCCTGTGCTAAATACCCATGATGTGATTTCAACCAGAGAGAAATGAACGTGACAAAGGTTAGAAGTTAAATAGGAGAAGTCAATTACTGGACGGGATGTAAAAGATATGAACAGAACAGCGCGATGTTTTTGATGAGTTGAATGTGAAACAAAATGTATAAAAAGCACTGCACACCATTGGGAGCACAAATGCTAGCACCAATACTAATGTTAATCAAGACGACAAAAGAGGTACATACCACTAAATTCAGTGATCCGGCATTACTATTCTCGTTATGACAAGGATCAACGTGATGCTATTTTAAAACAACCTTAAGCAGCAAAAAAAAAGTAATTATGATGAGTCAAACACTGCAGCTGTAGTGAAGGGGGAAAAAAGGAGCTGGGTGCATCTTGTACTACTACATTTTTTTCCCACCCCACTGGCTACAGTTTCATCCAATGCACTACATAAATGTAAGATGGAGGAGCTAGTTGTGTTAAACTCATCAAAGTCAAGCCACATAGGCTAAACTGTTCAATGCAAAGGCACACTGTGTTGACCATTCATACCGTCAATATAAATTAAAACAAACATACCTCACAAGGGTGATATCCGAGCATCTCAAGCATTACGTATCCTGATTTACAACGTCCAGTCTAAGAATCACAATCTTGGCTCAACTAAGATCTAGGCCAGAATGGACTGTGACGACTTCTTTTCTCAGGACTGAGACGGCTGTGTGGGAAGCCACCGTGGCTTGTCTTTAAATGCCGAAAAAAAGAAAAAAAAGAAATACGTCATTAGTTATGCGTGTTAGAGATTGCCGGCAGACATAATGAGCCTTTTCTAATTTGGTTTGTTTCATGTAAAAACTGAAGTTATGCCTTTATGGCGTATCACTTGATGTGAGGATGCCGGAGTAACAGTGAGTGCCTTTGTGTGGCGAGGGCCACCTCTTCGGCTGGAACCTGCCTCGGGCTTCTACTTGGCCCCATCCAGTTGTTTAACCCTGTGGATCCTTGGCAAGTGAGCCCACATCAGCACAGCATACATAATGAAGCCTATTATACCTTTGTTCTCACTCGCCTCAATTCCACTGTTTCCTCCTTTTCATTTGTCACATCAATAGCAACTCATAACACCCTGCCTCGACTTTTTGGCACGGCTGTATTTGCTATGATTAGGGATTTAGGCTGCCTGCGGTAGGGCTCTTGGATATATCAGCAGCTTTTGAGGCTGCGTACCCACGACAAACGAATCCAATATTTTATAAGGTCAGCCTGTGCAGCCTGTTCCCCCAGAAAGTCAATGAAAAACAAGTATCAAGTGTTTTGCATGAGTAGCTTTCCTTCCACCTGTCATACAATCAGGTCTTGTGTTCCTGCGAAAAGTCATAAGAGCCTAAAGTTACTCTCCTGTTCATGCTGGGAGACATTATCATTGTCCCGGTGCCCATGTGAGGTGCGTTAAAAAAAAAAAAAGTCCTGCAGATAAGCCTCACCTTGGGCAGCAAATTGTGATTACAGGGTTGTAAAAACGACAACACTGAGGGGCCAGGGGGTCTGGAGATATTTACAACTCTTCAGAGGAATGTCAATAACACCGTGGCAAAGAATGGGATTTGCTCGCCAGTGAATTAAACTGGATGGAATTTTGTTATCTTGCGACGGATAACGGACTTCATTCACTTCAGTGGTACAGCAGTAATAATCAATGATATTGTAAATAGGAATAAAAACGAGAAACATTCCGGCATTAAAGTTAATCCGACAACTAGACAAGGTTGTTATTCAGAAAACTAATCCAGAAAAATATACTGTACTTGACCCCTTAAAATGTTTACGCCCGATAGCAAACAGGCGTAAACAAACAACTCCTAATAAATCCATTCAAGTTCATCAATTCACATTGGGTTTCGCTTGCAACTAAAAGTGGTTTCAGTTTTTAGTCTGAGACTACAATAATTAGAAACAATATTTGATGACTTTTATTTTATATAAGGAAGAAAAGATCAACTCTTGAGGATATGGAAGATTCTTGAAAGGAAAACCTTTTTATCTACTTGTTGATCCTTGATCGCTTTTTTCCTATCCCAGCTTTCTTTGGCAAGAGGTGGGGTACAGACTGACCTATAAGAAAAGCACCAAAAAAACGGTATTAAAGATGTTAAAATGTTAATTTAGGGGCATATTCTCCCATGTGCTGCAGTTACAAAAGACGCACTGCTGATGGTGGGTGATGGCCCAGCGACTGACTTGTTTTGACAGTGCGAGGCACACCCGGCCCATATGCACTCACTGAATGCTCAACGGCTGGAATGTGTCCTCCCTATACCAAATGACGACAGACAAAAGCAAATTAATTGGGGCAAAAAAAGAAAAATCAGCGCCGGCGAAGAGCATTGCTGCATACTGATCGGGCATTGGTGTTTGAAAGTGCAGATCGCAATCACAATTTTCTTCATAATGGCGCCGGGAGTTCGACTTTGGTTTTATTTGATCTTTTCCAGGCATGAAATGCCTTAAAAATGACTTGACCATGTGTGGCACGATGCGCATGGTTGCTGATAAACACTCACGCATCGGCTCCAAGCATGCGTGTAGTCATGAACACATTATTCTGTCTGAATTACTTTTCTTGGTTTTTATTAGGGGTAGCACTGCAAACGACTGATTGGCACAACGGCCTCGCAGTTCTGAGGTCATAGGTTCGGATCCAGACTCTGGCCTGCCTGTGTGGAGTTTGCATGTTCTTTCCGTGGCTTTCCTCCGGGTACTCCGGTTTCAATATTCCCGAAACATCGACGGTCGATGAATTGCAGACTCCAAATTATCTGTTACTGTGAGTGTGAATGTTTGTTTGCCTATTTGTTCCCTGTGATTGACTGGCGATCATTTCCGGGCATACCCTGTCCCACACTAGCCTCCCCACTCCTCCCAAAAAGCACAATTCCAATGCATTTGTATGGATGTCGATTATATGCAGGTTTTTGCTTTTTGCAGACAGGTCCTGTCCTTATCCCTCACTAATAGTGGGGTTCCACTTTATAGTTTTTAGCTGTAATATCATCATTCACCACTGGATGGCAGTTAAGGCTTAGTTGTGCTTGCAGCTAGTCTTATACTGCTCTTTATTGTATTACACATTATTTTTTTTTCGGATTTGGAATGACAGACAGCACAAATATAGTACCTGAATAATATGAACATTTTGCGTGAGTTGATTTTTGTGGAGAAGATGCCCAAAACAAGTTCTTGCACTGAGAGTTGCTTTGCTCTTCAGTTTTGTGACATCCTTGGACGGTCATTTTTATGCACGAGAGCCCTTTGCACTGGAACCCCCCCTCCCACAAAATGTGGTTATTTTTTTGATCGTTCAAACCTTTAGTTGTTGAAGGGGGAAAATCTTTTATCAATGCATTGAGAAATGCATTCTGAAAAATGAACTATATTAAGAGTACATACGTATGCACATATTTTCCTGGTTGTTGTCACAGTCTTGACAACAAGTTTTGCACATTGGAGTCTGTGCCTGTATGTAGGGGTTAAGTGTATTAAACAGTGATCAGAAAAGCCCAGTGCTGTGTGGGCAACATATCGGTATGAGTCTTCTCTGGTGAAACAATCAATGTGCCGGGAAGTTCATGGGTAAGTTGTGCTCTATTAAAATTACCGTACCAAAAATGATAAGGGGTGACTTGATACTTAATCTCGATTTTGTTTACTTACTCAGCCAGCGTTTGTAAAGCTTAACTAAACTTGCAGTGACATGTAAACACTCGCGAGTATGAATGAGGAGAACTCACATGGTGAGTAGAATGGCTTACAGTTTAGAAACTGCGACTCCAAATCCGGGCTGCAGTGTGTGTTGAGCTTTGTCACATCAGTGCACCATTCCTGGTTGATACAGGAGCATATTCCACCACCTT